AACTGAGCTGAAAATAAGTGCATCATATCAACGATGTTCTCAATGAAACTGAAATCCAGTACCCACCACTCTATAATCAGCTTGTCATCCACTGAATCAAGGGATCTACGAGCTTATTGAATGAGTATTATATTTATCAGTATTTTTAAGGCTTTCGTATTTTCTTATTGGTTGTTTACTGTCGACGTACAGGCTCATTGAGGAGATGCCTTGATATTGTTCTCAGCTACAGGTTGATCAACTTTCGAAAGGTGGCTGGTAGTGAAACCCAGTAGATGTGGATTTTTGTGGTAATTAACACCGTGTTCCAATTTCAGCGTGAATATTAACATCACAATGTATATTTATGCAGTAGGGCAGAACACTTGCCAGGAATTTTACTATAAGTCACTATTAATAATTCGATAAATTAATATTAATCAATTTATTCATTAAATGCGTTCTATATTTGAACATCTTACATTCTTTCAATTCAATTCAAAGGGAAACATACCATAAATGTCTTAGTTTTAAATAATCATCAAATCACTGAATATTTACTTTTAATCTTAGGAACTTACTAATGTACATATGTTCAATTTGTTTCATCACAGCTCATTACAAACATGACTGACCTTAGCATTTCAAAATCAGTAACCGAATATGGTTGTACCAAAAGCGCAGACAAACTTCATCAGTATATATGTGATCATTCACTACGTCTGTCTGAAGCACAAAAGTGGTTATTACAGGTAATCATCGCAATTATTGTATTCTAAAAACGTATTGTAGAAGAGTAGAAAACATCCACTCTCATTAATGCTTTTCTCTAGTATAGAAATGCAACTTCTATCGAATTTGTGTTATGCGATAAATGCTAAATGGACACTTGATGTTGGTAAGTACAAAGTTTATACTGGTTTGTTTATAAGCATATATATCCATTTTACGTAACCCATTGCTTCTCAAACAAGTTCTCGGCCTTGATGAAATAAGCAAATGAACAAGTATTACTTGCTCGTCCATAATTATACATTCAAATTAACTGTATAGGTAGATACAAGTAGAAATAGGATGAATAGAAGGTAGATATTATGCTTAACTTTTTTTCATGGTTTACGGCAATTTTGTATGAGTCTGCGTTCAACATATCCTTCCGTTTCAGCTTTGATGAAATAAGTAAACTACATAAATATTACTAGATCATCTTTAATTCATTAGTTGAATTAACTGTAAAGGTCTATGCAAGTGGCGACATAATAAACAGAATGTGGATATTATGGCTAACTTTGTTTTATGGTTTGCCGAAACTTGGAATGAGTCAGCGTTAAATAAATCAGTCTGTCACTTGGAGACAATTGCTCCTTAACTCTACCGTTTGAAGATGATTAAGGAGATTGGATGCTGTGTTCCATCTTTCGTCTTTCTCCAGTGAGTATTATATTTCAGAGTGGTTGTTGAATTCATGAATGCACAAATCATGTTTGGAGTGGCAGATATGAAAAGAAGGGAGTTCAAGAAGTAGAAGGATACAGTCTTCCAGTACTGACTGATTATCATTGTATATTCGGATAGAGTCGAGTGAGTGAGAGAATTACCCTGAAGCAACTAAGTTGATACCACACATCAACAACACATTCGTAGTTGACTTGCATATTGGTCTGGGAGTGGAAACTGGAACACTGATCTCATTGCATTTGAAACTCGTTAGATGGATGCACTAGCATGGAGTCATTGGTATTTGTATGGAAACTCGAAACCAGTACCTTTCGTTTCAAGCATTAAAAGGTGATCCACTGATGAATTGGGACCACATAGCCAGCAGCTTGTTCAACGGTTGTGAATTTTATTTTGAAATAGTTTTCATTTAGCCGTTGTCGATGTTGTGTGTTGTAATTGGTCAGTCTGGTTTGCACCCGCATCGTCATTCAGTCACCGGTTCTAAATAGAGCTGAGTGGTGACTGGTAGTGGAATCCGAGATGCTTGCGTCGTTCTACATAAGCGTAGCCAATTTATGGAGACAAATGATTGTTTCCGTCAAACTGTGGAAAGCCGAACGTTGTATTAGTTACATAAATAAATAATGAGTATTGTGAAACGTGTAACGCAGTGCTGACTAGTGCACGAGTCTGTCTCTACATAAACGCATTCTATTGTGTACTGAATGCTAATGTCAAAGTATATAGATGAACTAAACTTACAAACAACTACTTCCTGGCCATTCAAATACCACATTAGTAGTCTAATCCTGAAACTGTGAACTTTCCTTCCAAATCACAGGCCTGTTGACTATGAAAATGGTTGATGAAATGAATAGAAACCTTACTAGTGATAGTCAATTATGTCTGGGATTTTTGACGTTCACTAACGTTTGGGTTGTTTGATTCAGTAATAGTTGGTTTCACATATGCTTGTTAAGCTAATGACTGTTTTGTTAAGCTACAGTGTGATCGAAACTAGTTTGGAAGATGTAACTGTGTTAATTTTACTGTTTTGTGACTGATCTATGGACATCAGTTAGAAGACTAGTCATTATCAACAGATATGTTTCCATTTATTTTAAAATGAATATAGGAGTTTATACTGGATATAGTGCATTGTCTATCGCGGAAGTATTGCCATCAGATGGACGTGTAGTTGCCTTGGATAAAACGGATGAATATTTGAAAGACTATTGTTTGCCAGCATGGAAGAAGGCAGGTGTAGAATCGAAAATTGACTTCCGACTCGGTCCAGCGCTTCAAACACTACGTAAGTTTGACAATCTGGTGTGGTATATTGTTACCAAGAAATACAAAACACAGATGAACATTCAGTGTTTTAACATAGAATATCCGTGGAGATAAGCATTTTACCATCGGATTACTGATGTGGTCTGTAGTGTGAGGAATGCTATCTGGTTGGTTTTGGAAGAAGATAATATATGGAGAATTCATGCTACGTTTATGTTTAAGATAGTTGAAAATAATGAAATGTTGGTTAATGTGGACGGAATCTACAAATAATCTTCTGATTAAGAAGTTTTAGTGAAGTGGTCGAAATCACTCAAGTATCAAGGGACTCAACTGCAAACCACTTTCATTGATATCGGTTTCGATATTCCTCGGTTTAAGTATTTTCTGAGTCAGCCAGTTGTACATACTTTCAGCTAATGCTGACCAGTTTGTTGAATCTGTATGTCCATTAGTTCTAAGTGCATTATTGCTATGTTTGATGAAGTTCCCTCCTATAATGTACATGATGTATGAGGGAAGCTCTAATTTTTGCACTGGACAACATTATCAGGTCTTGTTTAGATTGCATGACACTTTTTGAAATAATTTCAATTTACATGAAAATTTTCGTCTAAATTTGAAGTAATAGATTCACAGTATTTTAAAAATTTTATAATAATGAATTTTGACATGAAATGAATATTTCTAAATTAATTTTGATTGAGATCATGAATCGATGGATGTTAGACCACAACTGGAGATCTGGAAGCACTGGAAGACCGTATTGTCTCCGTACAGGACTGCTCATAAGTACGCACCCACCATCCCACACACGGGACTGCAGCCCAGGACCTTCACCCTCGTGCACGAACTCTTAACCCATAGACCAATGAGCCAACATCCAACGGTGTTAATGTCTAACTTCAACCAATCCACGAAAACGCTCGACCATCTTCCATTGCACTGAGGTAGATACTTGTCTCTACCCGACACGGAATAACTCCACTGGTCACGGCTTTTAAGTAGAACTCCGAGAATTCTTTTGCGAAGCTATTCACTAGTGAGCACATGGTAATCATCGGTATGTGAAATCCCATACTGCGACGAAACGGCCATCCAGTGCTTCCGGGTTTTCAATAGTGGTCTAACATCAATCGATTCATAATCTCAATCAAAACTCAACAATCTTCACAAACATATACTAAAAAACTTAACGAATTATTTATCTCCTGTGATTCGTGAATTTTCAGAGATGAGAATACAGTTTTTATGTATGGTATGAGTGAAATTTGTCACAGTATGCATCAAATAAAGATAAACAGACAGAATGTAAATAAATGAATGAATGTTTGTGTTGTTTTGCAGTTCCAGTTAATCGTTTATCATATTCAAGTGAGACAGGTGATTAGAACAGTTGAGTATGATTGTTGTTATCTTGATAATCTAACTTACTTACTTCTGTTACTCCTGGTATAGGAGTATAGGCTGCCCACCGGCACTCTCCATCCAACCCCGTCCTGGGCAATCCTTTCCTGTTGTTATTCATCCTTTTCATATCTGCTTCTATTTCTTGGCCTTCCTCATTTCCGCTTCCTTTCAGGATCCAAAGTTGGGGCTTGCCTTGTGATGCAGTTTGATGATTTGCGTAATGTATGGCCTTTCCATTTCAATCGTCTTTCCCTAATCTCATCTTCAGCTGGAATCTGGTTCTTTCTCTCCCAGAAGGCTGTTGCTGATGGTATCCGGGCAATGGATGTTGAGTATCTTGCGTAGACAACTAATTATAAATACTTGCACCTTCTTGATGATGGTTATAGTAGTTCTCCAAGTGAACATCTTGTGTCATTGCAATCAGTTGTTTGATCCGGTTGTATTGAGTGTAATGCTATCACTGATGTGTTTGCGAGCATTTTTATATGATCTGAGGATTTCTGAATGTCCTTAAAGCGCAGTTTGTTTTCCTTCACCCCCCATTCAGTTGTGGTGGTATTTCACCTACATATGTATCACTACAATCACCAAATATAAATGTACCTCGGCAAGTTAGATGTGTGTTCGGAGGTTGGTTCGAACACTGCGATTTGTGAGTAGGTGAATAGTACATGTACAATGTCTGATATTGGTATTCTTCTAGTCAATGAAAACGATTTTACTGATGACGTTGAAAGAATACATTTATTCGGTTAGTATTCGATAACAGTTGGGTGTATGTAAGTACATTCAGTTTGATAACAGGTTTGTCGTAAACTATTTATTGATTTGGTAACTGAACCTTCTAAATTTTAATTGAACTGTTGTGCCAACAGAAAATTTGATTGATAATGGAGAGAGTGAAACATTCGATTTCGCCCTGATCGATTTAGATCAACGAAACTACTGTAAATATTACGAATTATGTTTAAAACTAGTTCGACCTCGTGGAATCATCGCCATTGATAATGTAAGTTTGTTTTACTTACGAGCATATGTTCTATGTATCTCAATACATTTGAAGTCAACATTCATGACGAATTGATCTTTTAATGATTATTAATGAACCTTCTGTATGGAAATATCTCGCCCTTAAAAATGCTTCTACATTTCATAAATTCTCCAGGAAATATTCCACATATTCAATGAAGTGTGAAGTATAATGTTAATAATAATAAATGACTGTAGTTGTGCACCTTCTGCTGAATGATAGCCCTCTTTTTCAAACTAAATTGAATCAGTTTATCATATATATGTATGAATAATTTATCTTAGATCCACTGATTGGAAGTTATTGCGTAGAGGGAATTATAAGTTGGTCTGTTCTAACAATCCTAAGCAAACATTACTTACTGGTGCCTCCAAATGATCTTTGTTAATTGAATTAAAACAGTTTTACTGTTGATAATAATCTGAAGTAGAATATTGGTTTGGCTTTCGCCAACTTACGTCACCTATGGCGAAGGCGAGATATCCGTCTATCAATAAAAGGACGAGTATACTGCGCGGCAGTCCGTTCTGTTTTAATTTACGGCAGCGAAACATGGCCATTAAGAGTAGAAGACACTCGTAGCTATTAGTATTTGACCACAGATGCCTCAGAAATATTGCTGGCGTCTGCTGGGATCACCGGGTAAGTAATAGTGAAGTTAGACGCAGGGTATTAGGAAATGATGGTAAATCAGTTGACGAGGTTATGAATCTCCATCGACTGAGATGGTTGGGCCACGTGTTACGCATGCCTGAATACCGATTACCACGACGTGCAATGCTAACCGGTGTTGGAGATGGTTGGAAGAAAGTTAGGGGTGGCCAAACCAAAACGTAGCATCAGTCCACAAAGTCACTAACTTCTAGTCTGAGCCATGTTGGTAGATGCAGACTACTTGGTTGGGGTCCGCGTGACTATCGTACCCAATGGTTGGAGACCCTTGGTGACATGGCTCAGAATCGATCACAATGGCGTCGGTGTATACACTCTTTGTCTTCCCTTGAACTAAGAGATTAAAATGGCTTCATATCTTTCTTGCTATGAACTAATTCTTTCTTCCTATACTATATCCTTGTTGCAATCTTTGTCTCATATATTACCACCTTTGACCTAACCACTGCTATGAATCCGGTGTTCATCTTGTTGTGCTGATGCGGTATGGCAACCTGGACCGATGCACATATGTGCCTGGTCCTACGTTGTAGCTGACTGACTGATCTTATAGATTCTAACCACAGTGTCTGAACCATTCTACATGACGCTTATCAACAATTTACTTCTTGATGAGCTGATGAGTTGTCATCTTTTGGTCGCACCCCGATTTCACTGATCCTTATTCATCAACTCTCTGTTTCAGTCCCTAACATTTATAAAGTGAGAAGTGAAAATTTCGTAGAATCAATCTTCTCCATTTACTGTAAATTCTTATTTTGACAGCTGAATTACATAATACAGAAGATCCACTATGCTTATCAGCAGCTCTTTTCAATCCCTTAGTTCATATTTTATATATCAGCTTTCAGGGTGATTTTGACTTCCGGTTTAAAACTCCATACTGCAATCGAAACTCTTCAGAAATTGAGACACAAACAGTCTAAATCTTGATGAACAGATGAGTTGTCTTCTTTTGGTTGCTTTTAGATTTCACTTATTCTAATTCACCATCTCTCTGTTTCAGAGCCATTTTATACCCTGTTGATTACCATTTCTTCTCCAGGTTCTGTGGAGTCAGTTTGTGCTCGACGAGAATGATAACAGTCCTGCAACAATCGGTATAAGAGAAATGAATGCATTGATAGCTAGAGATAACTCTGTTCGAATTTCTCTCTTAAGAACTGGAGATGGATTGACAATTGTTGTGAAGAATTGATTCATGTTATTACTGTTTTCAGAATGGTTACATCCATACAGACACACATATATTTGATTGATGAACCGGATTGCTTTGATTGCTATCGCACATAAATAAATAGTCCCCATTACTATATTGTCATTTTCAATCATCACTGCATATATATGTTGTTGTAATAAAACATTTCGATGAAGAGTTTCCGTATATCACATACCGTTTCAATCATTTTGTAATTGGCATCAAATATGTCTGAATCTCTCGAATGTGAGGAAATTTGTAGGATTTTGGGATTCTCTTCATAGTCTGAGGAGACATGACGGGATGTAGTGAAAATCTACAGGTCAGTGGAAACTTGGGGCATTTTAGTCGCATTTTCCACAATAAATCCCCGAAATTTCTGATATGACTTTCTCGAATTTGATGAGCTTTCCCCCAAAGTTGAAAGATTAGGATGTTACGATGGAAGAAATAAGCTTGCTGTTCTCAGCTTTATGCAGTGCAAGATTACTAAAAACGAATACTTGACACAAGAATGGCAACTAGATCAATAAACCACGATATTTGACCACGTGGCAGACTCGTCTGAATTATCCAGTTAACAATCAACAAACAGATGTGATGTCAGTATGAATATCAAAAAGATTCCGATTGAAGATAGTTTGACGATAGTTGATGATATACACGAACCACATGAGAAATACTGAGTTTTAGTTTATCTTCAGTAGACGTGAATTGTTGTAAATATATCGACTATATGTTTTATTATTTGTTTCAGTTAAAGCATATGATCGTAATGTTTTCCTTGTCGCAGATCAAATTATTTGGAATTGCCACTAAACCGAAACGTGTAACTTATCATAAATAAGAGTACAATAATGTGACAGATCTCCTTCAGAAAGAATAGAACATATTGATTATTAACTATATCGCATACAATCTGATAATTGATTTGGTATGGAAATCCAGCAAAGTTGTACACACGTATACATCGAATGAAGTGGTAATTTCAGGTTACCGATGGCTTTGTACTAGAAAAGTAACATCTTTGGTTGAAGATTGCATAATATAATGGATATTTCATTGATTCATATCAATAGTCGTCCACGTTGTTCATTAATTGTATCATCGTGTTGTTATGTAGGCTAATAACGGCAAAGTAATGAAATTTATTTTGTCATCAGTCGGCAGAATACATTCATTATTTCAATTCGCTTTGAGATGGACTGGATTAGGCTGTTGTTGATATTTTGACAGGAATGTGGTCAGTCTAGGATACCACTGCTAATCACATTCCATCGATTTATTATTTTGAGGATACCTAAACTCATAACCAACCAAACACACTTATTTTCAAAATGTCAAAGTTATGTGTGGATGATTCTCTTGAAAGACGATTGTTTCTGCTCATTTTCAATCCGTATTCCAATCAGTACGTAGTAAAGTATTGTAATGGACTGAAGATCAACATGTAACTCGATTGGCGCATTTTGTAAACGTGAAAATACGTTTTGCTAAAATTAATTAAAACCACCAAGTTCACCGAATCTCAATTTCGACGAAATGCTCTGACAACCGTCAAACAACATTTAGATTCGAAAATGCGTAATTATCTGTGATTGTGATTGTGGTGTTGGCTATCACCATATGACTTCAATTGTATACATTCTACTCTATCGCTATTCACAGTTTGTTGTTTATGCTTGTTTGAAGGAGGCTAATTGAATAATGTCAACTGAAGTGAATTAGAAAGAAGCACAAATAATCTCAATATGTATGCAGTTGTGAAACATGATATGTCCATAAATATATTTGTTGGGACGGCTTTCGATAAGCCCCACGACAACTCCAGAGGCCGTCAAGGAGCCGAAGCGTTTCCATCCACTCAGAACGTGGGGTTCTACACGTCAGAGTAACGTTTGATGTACATCGTATTCTGGGTTAATCAAATAGAACATTTAAGAACCTTATATGATTAATTAGGGTGAACTACAAGGTCAATGTGTGGAGCACGTACTGAATAAGTCGCACCTCATCACGTTGTATTATCAGTGAAAATGTAGAAATTTGATTGAATCACGTATCTCGTAAATAAAATCTATGTTAATTTTATGCAATAAGTACCTCATTTCGATTATAAATATAAGATAACACTGAAATATCCAATGTTGTTGACATGATTGTTCGATTTGAAACCTTTAAACTTCATAGTGCTTACCGTAGGTCATGAACCATTGAGCATGGATTCAAACATTGTGATATAGTGATTTATTGACTAATGGTTGATGGTTTCACAGTTTACCGTTAGTGGATAGTTCTATGTTCGTACACAATCTGTGTGGAATGAGATGATCACAAAGATGAGTGTACAAATTCTGTGGTAGTTTTACTCCGCATATGTTATAGACTTGAATGGTTTTTACATTATGCGATCATGATAGATTGAATATCACTCACTTGTTGCTACTAATGAATCCTGATGTTTATGAGAATAGACAAATCGAAGTTATCAATCCGTAATATTATGCAGTACACAAAATCAACTCTATTTTGATAATCTGTGATCTAGAAGAATGATAGTTAGGAAATGATTCTTCGAATATTACTTGAATTTCAAAACTTATGAAGCAGAAGCACAACTCATACACCTGAATATTGAAGACGTAACTGAATTCTGGTGTTCGCCTATTGATTTGATGCAGACAATGCTTATGAACAAATTCCAGTGATGATGGAAACTGATTAGTTTGATGTGTGCGATCGCCAGATTCCCAACTGTCACTTTATTCTCTATATCTTTAGTTTATCTGGTTGACCATAAACATGTAGTGATCTACCTTTATCAATAGAACGCTAGTGGTTTAATGGAAACAATTAGTATTATAACCAACTGTGCCAGTGGTTGTTTTACAGTACTTCTATGTTTAACCTTACTAAAAACATACATGCTTCCGTTGATTGTGTGTCCTTGCACGAATTCGGTAACCACACTTGTAAACTGGCACGATCACAATATTCTTTCGATAC